TAAATAATATTTGTGTGTGTGTGTGTGTGTGTGTATATATATATATATATAATATAACTCACGTCTTCATCGTGCAACGGCGAAGGACGCAAAGGGAGCACCATATTTTGCTCAATTATGTGTTGTCAGGGGATATTTTTTTACTTTGAATTTGAATAGTTTGAACGACAGTCTATAATTTTATTGTGTGGGATGGATTTTACTGGTTCGAAACTTTTTTTTCTCCTCTCCTTCCTTCTCCTCCTCCTCCCCTCCACCCACTGCTTCAAGGCTCTTGGTTTCCAAATGAATTAGTATCCATAACACTCATGTAGCCTATCAAGTTGTTAATATTCATTCCCCCACCCCAACCCCCCTCCGTCATCTTAAACAAAAATAATAATAAAAATAAACGACTAATTAAAATAACACCGTCCCTAAACACACACACTCACATACACACACACACACACACGCACACACACACACGCACACACACACACAAAAACACAAACAGGTGAAACTCCCTCTCTCTCTCTCTCTCTCTCTCCTCCCTCTCTCTCTCCTCCCTCTCTCTCTCCTCCGTCTCTCTCTCCACCCCCTCCCCTCTCTCTCTCTCTCTCACCCTCACCATAATATTATTATGTACATACACTTCTTAGGAATCGAATCTCCGTAACTAAATGACCCAAACCATTATCCTTTTCTTGCCTTAGTCTGCAATCAACATAACATAATACCCAAAGCATTGCTCTTCATTTTTTTCTTAGCTCTCTCACATTAAAAAGGTTATTCTATTTTTAGTTCTTCTTCAAACAATTCTCTTGATATCAAATCGCTACCCTAATTACAAAGTTCTATCTACTCAGTACCTAGTCTTGAGAAATGTGACGTCAAAAATGTTGAGTTTCATGACAAGTCAAGCTTTTTCGAAAATAATTTTTTGAACATCTTGATAACAGCTCCGAATAATCTTACAATTTCGATAGAGCAGAGAGAACACTTGGTTTCAGACCTTGTAACTCAAAACGGCCAAAAATATCAGATCGTCTGAAACTGAAAACAAACACGTTTGTTTTCGAGGCGATCAAGTCGGGCGATCGGCCCAATCGGCCCAATCGGCCAATCCCAGCCGTAGTGGGCACCCTGTATTATAAGGGGGAGGGGCCACACTGAGGTTATGACCCCTGAGTGCACTCCTGCTGTTTCTGCTTGTTTGTTTTCTGTCTTCTTTGAAAAACTTTAACGACAGGAAAACAATCCTTATAACAACATGAAACAAAGAAATAAACGCAAAGATAAAGTAAACTTAAGGACGAAAAAAAAAGCATAGAGAAGGATAGGATTGGATTCTTTCTCTGGTGTTCTCTTTTTATGCGTACTGAAGGACTGTTAGTTACAATCTTGCGTCTTTATATAAACAAAAGCAAGACATTTAAGGATTATAAAACACAGTAATGGTTTTTAGAATCATTTAATCACACTCCTTCATTTTAAAGCATATTTTTACACATCATGAACAGATGTGCATTCGACATTTAATTAAATACACTGTAGCCTTCTGCAGGAAACTAATTTACTTACTAATCTCAAGAGCCCAGAGCTCAGGAGAGAAAAATTGGACAAAAATTTTAATATTATTATTCATACGTTTTCTAATGCCGTGCAAATTAAATATTCTTACTAGATCTAGATCTAGGAAGTTTGTTTCGCCTTGCTGCTTGGGTTTGGGTTTTTTTAATTGAAGTAGTTATCTTGACAGAAAAACAAGCAAACAAACAAACACACAACAACAACAACAACAATAACAGAACACAAACTATATCAAACATGGCTACAGCTATTATGCCATTTCAAGGCTGGAAATCCTACGCAAAAATAATAAATCTTCTGCCAGCAGCCAAATTTAGGCATTTGTGAGGCAGTGTGTTGAAGTAAGGCACTCGTCAAAATAATGAAAATCAAGAAATTGGCATTTTCCCGCAGGTTTGGAAATTGTTATCAAATTTTTGTTTTTTCGGCTCAACACCATTAAAGTAGAAAACATTTTTGTGTGCATTTTACTTTTTCAAAAAACATTGATTAGAGGAAATTGTTTTGTTTTTGTAAGTGTTTTACGGCGCTCGCAACTGCATAAGGTCATATGAGCGCGCGGGGCACAATAAACTTTTTCTGTTTTCAGTTGGTAGGAAATTTTGAATTTTGCCCGTGTGGTGGCCGAAGCCTACTCTTATCGATTTTAGTCCACCAAGGGATTTTTAACGTGCGAAACTTGCACACGGGCCCTCCGAGATTTTTCTCCCTTGTGCGAGAAGGCTAGAGGGTGTAGATCTTTCCTACCAGAAGATCAGGGGTGTGGCTGAAATTACAGCAATAAGAAGAAGCCAAGGAGTAGCAGTAGAAAGGCTGTAGAAAGAATCAGGAGCCTAGAGGAGGAGGGTAAAGGAGATGAGGGAGTGGGGGGAGAAAGAGGAGACGAAAGTTGACGACAGAACATTG